AAAAAAAAAAGTGTGAGTTGGAATAAAAAGGACAAACTGTGATTATAGAGCGAGTCTCAACAGGCTCTTTAGTAAAGAGGTAGCCTCTTTTCTCTCACCTTGCGCTCTTGGTCACAAGCTGTGTGGATCTGGAAATAATCCTTCATGGAACAGGGAGGTCTGTCCTTACATGAGCCAGATCCCTCAGCTAGGAAAAGTGGGGATACATTATATTAATATTAGCATAGGAGATATAAAGCAAATATAATTATTTAAAAACAGGAGCAATTTTAAGCAGAATCGATCCCCCCCACCCCCATTTCCTTTTATATGGATACAACACTAGCAAAGCAACAGTCGCAAAATATGTACTAAATAAAATATGTTTATTCCCTGGATGATCTAGCTAGGAAAGAGGACTAGGGCCACTGGGAAAAAAAAGTGGGCATGTGATTTTTTTCTTCTTTTCCAGAAGTCTGAGACAAAAGAAAGAATTCTGAGGTTAAGCTCAGAATTTTGACTTTTTCCTTAGAATTATTTTTTTTCAGAATTCTGGAAAAAAAGAAAAAGAAAACTTTTTTTTCCCCCAGTGGCCCTAATCCTCTACCGTATCTAGCTGTATCCAGTGACTTTTAAATTACTTTACTAAACAGAAAATTAATTAAATGCATTATATGATTCTTTATCAAGGCAGAGTGTGCCTCAGTAAAAACTGTGGAATTGTCTGTTCTTTCATCTTAAAACTTAAATTTCATTAGATGGTTAAACAGTCTGAACAACTCATTTGAAGTACAAAGAAGAGTTGTATTGCCATATCAGCTGGTTTTGCCTTTTGGTCTTCATAAAACACATCACCTAGTACAGCTCAAATAGAAAATATTAAAAAAAATAACATCAAAATACATATCGGTCAACAGTGCATCTACAAGAAATGGCCAATCATTGTCCCAGGCAAGGAGTAGGTTGGGTCATATTTAGTTCATAATCCAAAGGAGAGCAACTTATTGGCAGTCCTTAATATTTATCCTGAGATGTGCCTATTTAATATGGTACAGGCCAATTTTAAAAATAAGTGAATACATTTTTTTAAATCACTTGAGTAGAAAGATCCAACTAAATACATTTTCAAAAAGTATGTTAACATTATGTAGCAGTATGTAAAAGTATGTTACAAGATACATCATACAAATGAAATAACCACAGTACTTTAACTGAAAAGTCCTCGTTCAAACCCCCTGGGGGAAAAAAAAAAAAAATCTAAACTTCTAGTTCAAGATTCTAGTGCATTGGCTGCCTTCCTATCATATTACATATGTTAGCAAATATACTAACATAATGATCAAGCATTACTTTTGCTGCCCCAGTTGTCAAAACCTGCTATTCCCTTGCGATCACACGGGCTCACTGTGTTTCTTTTTCTAAAGTTTGACAACTGTGACATAAAAATGGGACAAGCTCTATCTATATCCTTTAGATGTGCTTCTCTAAAAAGCAGTGATAGCAATTAGGATTCAAAACAGATTTAAAATGGCAAATCTAGCTTTTTATTCATACCTGCATACTGAGTGCTGGTGTTACAGGGAGTGCAGGAACTGGCACCATGGCCAGAATAGGTGTCCCGAGGACAGGGTTCACATGAGGAGGAGCCAGGGACTCGACTGAAAGATCCCGGCTTACACGGAAAACACTCTGATGTGTAAGCAACACCTGAGCGGAGCAGAAAAGATAGAAAGAAGAAGTAACTGTTTGATCTATTTTGTTGTCATTTTTTATAAAGAGAAAAAGAAAAAAGAAAAAGTAACCACCAACCCTCAATATGAATATTTTTTAGCAGTGCAGGATTCACCACTTTTTTTCCCATCGTAACACCACCAGTCCTCCAGTAAAGGATGTTGGTGCCAGATTTCAGGTTCACCTAGAATACACATATCAATGCATCATCAGCTTGGGATTAAATATTAATAATTAATATAATATTCTATCTGAAAATTAAGAAAGGTCATTATATGCGATCAGCTTAATTGCAGCAGCTAAGCTGTAACTCTATAGCCATCTAACCATGAAGTATAAAGCTTAACAGCACAAGTTCAGAAAACATAAACTGCAAAGTATGCAGGACAACAGTAACTTTATACAGATTTGTTTTGTTTTCATGGCATACAGTGGGGCAAAAAAGTATTTAGTCAGCCACCGATTGTGCAAGTTCCCCCACTTAAAATGATGACAGAGGTCAGTAATTTGCACCAG